AAGTTGGGAAAGGAAAAGTAGGGATTCGATGTTCAAATAACAACAATGGGTTCTTTTACTAGCATTTGGAAAGGCTAAAGTCGTTTTTTCATGACTGAGGGATTTGAAATTACACCCAGATTTGGTTTTAGTAATAATAATGCATAAAAACATAGTAACTAATAACTCTAAATTCACAAGTTTATCTGGCGAACCCTTAAAATATATTTATCTATACCACAAATACACATAAATTATACTCATATATTATATAGGGTTTAATTTATGCAGGCTAAGTTGCGGGAACACAGATAGTCATTTCTGTAAGTAATATTTTAATTCATATTAGGTATGAATATATTTTTTTTTACGACTTGAATCATCCATTTATTACGTCATCAGCAAATTTTGATAAAAACTTATTTTGTAATTCTGTCATTCGAATTTTAAAATTAATGAAAGTTTTTATATGACTAGAAAAAGCATAAAAGGAAGTTCCGATCTATCCATCCTTCATTAGCTATACCAAACGTTTACTCCTTAAAAAGTTTCAGGAAGCCTCTTTATTTGCACGCTGTAACTAACAAATGAAACCTACAATATTGCATTCCTTGTACATTCACAATTTCATTCTCTAACGTTTGTAGTCACGGTTCATATTCGCTTGTCCGTTTTCGGATGGTTATACTTTAGAGTATTGCTACTTGAGACAGTAGGCACTCGGTCTGAGCCTCTGCCTAGGAATTAATGTGCCGTGACTGAAACTTGGCACGCACCTTACTCGGGTTTTTTTCCTTTGTTCAAAGTTCATTGCAAGTTAAACAAGCATATATGCCTAAAGATATACGAACTAATCGGAGAGTGGATGCTTTATATATCCCGTTGTAATACGAGTATTATATGTCATAACATTATTTTGAGAAAATCAATCTTGTGGTCTGCAAATATATTTTAATACGACTTCAAATAATGAGACTGTTTACAATTTCACTGTTTGTTCATGTTCGATGATATTTTCTTCAGTGATGGAGTATATTTCCCAAGAAGGTAAAATGTCCTCATTTCCAAGTCGGATATGGTTACGAAATTTTTAATACAAGAATATTTTATATTACTCATTTATTATGAAATCAACAAGTGTGTTGGATTTTGTGCTCATAATGCTGATTTGATATTTTTATAATTTTTCTTTTTTTAAATTTAATTATAATATAGTACTGAAAAATAATATGTTGATATTGGTCGCCGAAAGGAGTATAATGTCAAGAATCATATTACTGCGACTTTTAAGCTCAATTTTATTTTTAGTTACTTCAACTTGAGAAAATACAGCAAGTTTGGTTGTTTATTCGAGTATATTTTTTTATGTTTTAGCTCATACCTTTTACTAAATATTACACATTGATGTTTTTTTTACGAGGGTCAAACTGAAAGTTCTTAGAAAATCAAAAACTGATTACATTAGCCAGTTATTAGTTTTATTATATCTTTTCAAAATATTGTCCATTCACGTCAATACACCGCTGCATGCGATGGAACCACTGGGAAAAGCACTTTGCCCACTCGTCCTTAGGGGTCTCTTCAATGGCATCGCGATATGCAGCCACCGCTTCTTCAGCATTCATAAACCGCTTTCCTTTAAGTTTTTCTTTAATTTTTGGAAATAAATAAAAATCACAAGGCGCGAGGTCGGGGCTATACGGCGGGTGACCCAGTAATTCAACGTTTGATGTCGCCAAATAGTCGATCGTTCGCTTGGCGGTGTGCGACGAGGCGTTGTCGTGGTGAAGGAGGATCCTACTGCGAGGTCGTTTCTCTCGAACTTTTTCCAAGACAAGTGGCAAACAATTGGTAGTGTACCATTCTGCAGAAACTGTTTTTTGATCCTCTAACACAATTGTTGCAAAATGACCTATCCTTCCAAAGAACGAGGCCACCATTTTTTTTCCCGCACTTCGATCTCTCTTCACTTTAGTTGGCAACTCCTCGAAAGGAAACACCCACTGAGCAGATTGTCTTTTGGTTTTAGGATCATAACAGTAAATCCAGCTTTCGTCACCTGTTAGTATGTCGAACACAGCATTTGAGTCACTTCCGTTAAATCTTTCAATCATTTTACGACACCAATCCACACGATGGAGTTTTTGAGCCTCAGTCAAATTATGAGGTATCCACCGGGCGCAAAGCTTCCTGACCGCTAAATGTTCGTGGAGGATTTTGTGCACTTGACTCATACCGATGCCTAAGCTTGTCCGAATCTGTTGATAGGTCACTCTTTTGTCAGTCTCTATCATACGCCGCACAACACAGATGTTATCTTCAGTCGTCGCCGTAGAAGGCCGTCCCTCACGTAAATCATCAGTGAGATTAGTGCGACCACGTTTAAACTCATTAAACCAGTTGTAAACAGTCGCACGAGATGGGGCTTCATCGTGAAAGGCCAATCGTAGTCTATCATAACTTTCTTGTTGACTTAAATGACATCGAAAGTCATAAAAAATCATTGCACGAAAATTTTCTCGTGTTAAATTCATGATGACGTGACACAGACAATTTTCAATTTGCCGCCAAATCGTAAAACAAATGACAAATGAATGAAATATATACTCAGTAATATTGGCAAAAAGTTATATTTTCAAATTTTAGAATTATTTTTTTATTATATTGTTTTATAAGTGGCCAGTTCTAAGAACTTTCAGTTTGACCCTCGTATATTCAGAAGTTGGTGGTTATTATGTGGTCATATTTAGAGCGGGATCTCATCATTAGTTTTGTGTTTAAAAATTATATAGACGTTCTAATTGTTTCAATATCTGAATAATGTGTTTATGTGTAATTAGATAATTTAGTGGTGATGTTTTTTATGAAGATTGATCAACAGTCTCTCTATAAACTTGAAAAAATCGTAAGTTCATTACCAGTGGTCGGAATTAGGTAGAGTTATTTATGTACTTGCATCGAAATGTTGATATTAATGTGAACCTTCCGGGGATTTCTTTATTTCTTTCTTTCATTGATGTAAGTTTGGCAACGTCGTGCGTGCAGTAGTTTAAATTGTGTAAAATAAATAACTATGTATTTAAAAAATCACAGGATTTTTTCTGCTCTTTAAAATTAATCTCGGGTTTTGAGGCATATCCACTTTATTCTTTCGCTGTATGAAATCAGTGTAAGTACATGAATAACTCTACCTAATTCCGACCACTGTTCATTACCTTGTTTGGCATTCAAAATAAAATTTATATTATATCTATATGTATGTACACGTTTTCACGTCTAATGTACTGAACCAAATTTAATGAAAGTACACATATAGAGTGAACAATGGGAAAGGAAATAGGATAGTTTTTATAAAATATCTATCTGTCTATCACATAGATGGGTAGATGCACTTCACGCTGTATCCCTGCCGGGTTAGACAGAGATGGACCGAACACCACGATCTTTCGCCTCATCCACATTCATTACTCTTTTCATATATACCCGCCGGTTTTCTGGCTTCTGATGTCACCTTCTAACAGCACGTGAAAGATTTGATCGTGAAAGGTATGTCGTGACCTTCCTCGGCTTCCGCATCCTTCCACTATCGCGTTGTATATCAGTTTTGTCGTTCTTTCACCCTGCATTCTTTATACATGTCCGATGTGAAAATATGAAAGGCGGAAATAACCGAATTACATGCGGGCAAAAACCCCGGGTGGACAGCTAGTAAAAAAATATAATACAAAAACTTCTTAAGGTTGGGTGGTTAAAGGTAGGTATAGCTATCAAAACCTCGTCCAAATTAAAATGAATTGAATGCTGTTAAACTTAAAATAAAATGAAATAATGCCCATATAGAAATACTCAAAACATCTTACTTCTAAATCGCATCAGATACTTTAATAAAACAGGTTTTTTCCCTTATATTAGCCTAGCTCTATCTATAAAATGATTCCTCATTTACCTTTATACACACGTATATAATAAATTATATTTTTTAAAGTTTTCGAGAACATATTTTTGGATCAGTTCATTGATTCGAGATATTTCAATAGAAATTGGATACAACCAAATACCAATCCAAAACCCACAAAACACTCGAACTTTCTAATTAATAGTTATAATGATACAAGTTTTTCATTTAATAGAATCTATGGTTTTAGCCGTGAAAGTATAATATTTAGCAATTCCCACATCCAGTCAGTATACCAGAAAAATATTGCAATAGTTTTCTATTAAGTATTTCTTTTTACTTTTCATTTGTACTTTCACTTCACAAAATAATTAAAAATATATTCGCAATAGCATTTGGACCCATATCTCTATTAGTTAAATTTTAAAATATATTTCATTAATCAAACAGGTTTGGTTAACTTGATATATTGTTGATTGTATAAATGAAAGAGGTAGAAAATCTAATAAAAGTCTATATAGGAATTTCGGCATGTTCCATCAATTACGAACCTATCAATATTAAAAACCCAAGCGTTCTATGAGCGAATTATGAATAAGGCGATAAGTACGCACGGAATGATGAATGGAAAATATTTAGGAAGGAAGAATTCAGATCAGGTGAGCGACTTAATGACATTCGATATATCATCGGCGTCACATGAATAATGGAAAATGACTCCGGAATTTGCTGAGCATTTGCCCGTCAAATCGTTTTCATTCCGTTAATGGCTTATTGTAAATCGGAAGCCGTTGATTTCGTTTGAAATTTCTAAGATTCATCAATTAGCTTCGTTTCTGAAATAATTTCCAGTGAAAACCAAAATATGTGTATTCATATGTGAGCTAAAATGTTTGTTACTAAATTTGTCGTCTGTGCAATACCTCGCAAACGACGAATGAATGAACGAATAAATAAACCGAAATTAAGAGCGTAACTCTTAATTTAGGTTTATTTATTCGTTCATTCGTGATATTTTAATATCGATATCAGCTTTACTTAAAAGTTTTATATTTTAATATGATCAAAAATGTCATGTCATACTTTAGAAAAAATAAAAATAAAATTATGGAAATCACATTTTTTATTATCGATCGATAACCTCTTTTAAATGTTTCAGAGCTTCGTCCAACGCTAAATAGACCTCTTGCGTGTCCGGTGGTCGTATTTCAAATGAGGCGGTTGGACTTCTCATTTGCGATTTGTTCAAGATGCTCTGCGTGAGAGGACAGAAGACGTCTGGGTTCATGGATTCGGTCCTAGATTTGCCAATCAAGTAGCTCATTGGTACACCAATCAGAAGGACAGATATAGCCCCAGCAAAAGGGCAATACGTAAAGGAGATTCGGAAGAGAGACTGCAGAGGTTTCGTCGGTAGCTTTGAACTGAAAAAATAAAAGGCAGTTTGTAAGTTGTTAAATCTATAAGTTATTTTTTCAACCAATTAGAAAGTTGACATTAAGAAGGTTATAGATGAATGAAAAAGCTACACACAAATTATATTGAGTTTTCATTTAAAGTTATGTAAAAGTCACACACAATCATATTTAACTTCAAAAGTTAACAAAGGCTTAAATGTAGTTGTAAATTCAAAATGGAAAACCTAGACCAAAGTTTGCGTAAAATTAATATTTAATAAAGGATTCTATTTTACGTTGTCTACCACTTCATGAATTTTATAATATCGAACTTGAACGGCACAAAGCCAAAGTCAGTGTAACTTCAAGGAAAGAATCAAGAACAAAAGTCATAAAACTGGAAGAATCGAGTAATAGTAATATGAGTAAAGTTTTAATAAGGGGGGAATAAAAGTAAGCTTCGTCTCGATATAACCGAAGTTACGGGGCAAAGATTAGAACTTCTTCTGGCTGCCTTTAAGCAAGTGTGAAGTCATTTTGCGGTCAGAATAATGTTGGATTACATAGAAAACGATAAATTTATTATCCTGTCAAGTCTCGATTTTGCTAACGGTAACATAATAATAGCATGCCGATAACGTCTCAATTAATTTTTCGACTGAACTATATACCAGAGGTCTAATAATATCATGAAATATACTTATCAAAATGTCATTTCAGAAATCAATGGTCACAAATTTGTTATTGAAGCGCTACTTGACAGGCCATAATTAAGCTAACATTATAATACCTATACCAGTAAATCCTCACTTTGTACCTTTGGGGTTTCAACCGAAACCCAAAACCCTTCGTAATCTGGGCGATGGATGTAACCATGGAACATTAATGATTTTTATCGAATATAATTATCTTATTATATATTTTTATCATTACAATATAGAAATTTACAAAAAATTTCCTTTCTTTTCCTTATTTTCGAAAATAATAGTCAATACAAAGAGAAAAATAGTAAGCAAAAATCAAATAAATTCATTCATTTTACCGTCTGTACTTACTTTACGAGTAACTACAAAAATTGCCAACAATAGGCACGCACACTATTAAAGTTTTAACATAGGTACCTCTTTTCAATGTTTTGTATTAGGTACTCATTGGAAATTCATAACAAATTTATTTCTGGGATACTCATGGTTTATAGCTTAGGTAAGAGCTCACTGTGTCTATATTTTTGCAGCAATGTGTTTAAAGCCAGTTTTAAAATTTATGAACTTTGGATGTAAAACTTTTTGAAATTATCACCCGTTGTAGTCTCTATGAAAGCTTTATGAATTTCAACTTTAACTTGCTAGCTGAAAATTTAAGTGTCCTGCGAAAATTGTGAGATAAAAATTTAAATTTATATTTTACAACAGTTTTCACGGCAGTAATAAATTGTTTGATATATACTTACTTTTTAATTTGGCTTATTGTTAGCCTACTCGGTTTGATACATTATGGCTCAGTTATATTGGTCTAACAATAAGATGTAGGTACACATGCTGTGTGCGGGTAATTTCGGATCCTCGCTTTCATTGATCGGTAAATCTTTCATTGTAGGACCAATGAAAGTGCAGAAGTTGCCCACGATTCGCACACTGACCCCATCGACTAGTGTAACTGAGCCGTTAGTATGAAGCATGAGACAGGACTAGACTAACTAATATTATTGATATCAAAATAACAGGAAGAATTCTTTCAAATTTTTTTTATTAAGACGACAAAATTTGTTTATTTTAGTTTTTGATAAGTTCATATTTGTTTATTTATCATTAAAACTTATTTAATTTATGTAGGTAGGCTACTTTTTAGTTTTTCAAAGGTTTTCAAAGAGTTTTATGTATCGAAGTTTAATACAAAGAGCGGGTTCTATGCTAACACTCTTCTACTTTAAATGTAATACAGAAGTTTTGTGTTGTACTTACGCTGCATTCGGAACTTGGGTGATGTTGGCTAAGACGTGTGTAAAGTTGGTCTTTCCACATCCTGATACTGTTAATGGCTTGCCTTGGAAGGTCAGCGCTCCAGTCGCCAAAGCATTTTCGGCGCCGATAAGCAGCCAGCCACAGAGCATCAAGCTGAGTAGACATCCACCTAAAGCACCCTGATTAAAAATTATAACAACTTTTGGTGAGGTTGGCTAAAACAGGTCATTAAAAATCAGTAAATGTTTAATAGTATCGACGACATATTTAAGACTGGTATTGCCATCTAACGAGTAAGTTGTTAAGTTATTAATTGAAACATCTCGGTTTGTGCTACTCTGAAAATTATAGAGTGCTTTTTTAGCATACGAATTTCTTAAAAGTATAGTGGTTTAGTTGGAAAGTCATAGATGGCGCTACATATACAGCGACAATGAAATGTTTTTAAAAATAACTAGATGGCGTTAAAAAGAATAATTTCATAATATAAGTATTACCTTAATAATTCAAAATAACAAATTTCATGCCAATTGGGTAGAAATATTTAATATAAAATACTTACAGAACAATTCGCTCGCGGAAAGACAATACCTAATGTAAACAGCCCCAGGAGAGTCCCGGCTGTGACACCTGTCACACCCGAAGCCACATGCTGAAGACGGTCCAACTCCTTAGCACACCAGACAACTCCAGCGCTGTATAGACCTACGAGGATGCACAGCACCTTAAAAATGATAATCATGTTATTTATGATAATTATCTAATTAAATTAACAAAAGTTATAATTACTTTATGTGTACAAGAAAAACTTTATAAATGTGGAAAATAGATTATACACATAAATACAGGTACAAATTTGTTATAAAGAATTAACGATAAAACATTATCTAACAATATCAAGCAGTGATGCAGCGTAAGAAAACCTACTTATAAAGTTCATAAAGGTTTTATATATATTTGATATCGTCATTTTCGAGGCTAATTCAATTATAAAATATCAATGCTAAACAACATAAAAAAATTGATGACGATATATGGTTACCTTCATAATTTTACAACATGTCTGTTCATTAGTACTTTGAGGCATCCACGGTCTTATAAACTCTTCAAATATAACGCCTGCTATTGAATTAATCAACGTAGCAATGCACCTGAAAACCATTAGGAGTATATTTGCAGATGCGGCGAAGTAGACCCCAACGCGACATTTTTTTTTTAAAATTATTAATTCATGTTTAGGTACTTTAAGAATGAGTTTATTTTATTATTTTTTACTTTTTATAGGGAATTCAGGTTTTTGTGTGCTAGTTTAAATGTTTTATTTTGTTCTTTATAATGTAGATTCTTGTCGAAACTTTTCATTATTTTTTTAAGGTAAAGTTTATATTTAAGGTCAAGTTTGTTCGCTTTCATTTAATTATTAATTACTAGTATTTGTTTCTATAACTAATAAGTACCTAATGTTAATATTAGTCTTCAACTCTTTAAAAAAATAATTTTCTCATCAACAAAGCTAAGAACACTCTCGATTAGTTATTAATATTCTCTTTCAGTGCGCTTTCATTTGAGACCCCTCTCTCTCTCTCGAATATGTTTAACATTGGGTTATCTTTCTCACTTTCAGCACCCACAAATTTTAAACAGCTCAACCGACTTTTATCAAACTTATCTAAGAACACTCGCTCATAAGTCAAATTTTAATACAAAATAAACTAAATTGAAATCGCTTCATCCCTTCAGGAGCTTTGATACTACAGACAGACACAGACACAAAGAGACATATCAAACTTATATCACCCCACTTTTTGATCGGGAGTTAAAAATAAGTTAATATTCGTTAGATCAGTGTTAATATTTATTGTATCAAAGTAGGGGCACGATGAAGTTTACAATATAGATTGAAAATAATATTTCAAGAATACGCCCCCAATTCACACTAGAGTATCCATGTAAGAAGAAATGTCTCATGGTATGAAAAAAATCGATAGAAATTGAAACAATATATCGATAGGGACTAAATGTTTTGTAAATTATAAATACATACCCTGTAGTAGCGCTGAATATTGAAATGATGAAAATTCCACAAATTCCGGGAAACATTGATGATAAATGATGTAAAAACTGTGGCACTAGCTAAAACAAGGACCAAAAATCAGCACTGGTATGTGGTATTTCTTGATTCATCATCAGCCCTTTTTACGTCCCCACTGCAGGGGCTCAGGGCTTACTTATGGATGGTTAAGGAGGATGGGCCATGACCCTCCACGCTGGCCCAATGCGGATTGGAGGGTATTAATGACTGCAAATGCAGCCGAGATCAACGGCTTAATGTGCGTTCCGAAGCACGAAGTAGTTCGAGATAATAATTTTTTGGTCACCCATCCCATGACCGACCCTTGCGAAAGTCGCTTTACAACAAAGATTAAGGGCCGGAGCGCTTATCCTCTACGCCACCGAGCTACTTATTTCTTGATTCTTCTATGTTTATAGATTGACCACAGGTATATAACCAATTATATTTAAAAAATCTGTCAATTCTCAGATAGAAACCACATCAACAACGAAGAGAGAATTAAGAATAAAAAATTTCCAAAAATGACATTTATAATAAGCCATCTAATTAAAAAAATATATCATTTGATACATCAGGGATTTCCAAAGTGTTCGATATTGGTTTGCCAGTCACATAAACGAAACCTGATATTTGGGGTAGATGAGATAAAATTAATTCCGAATATTAATTGACACGAGTACTTGTTTGAAACGATAGATAATTGATACTGTATAAGTTCATGAATATTAATTTTGTTTTTGACGAGAAGATTATGTCAACTTTACTCATTTAACTAACAGCAAAGTTTTATAAATTGATAAGGGATTTGTATCGAAAGAAAAAAATAGGATTGTTTTTTTTTATTATTTGGAAATCCCTGGTTTTAATTATTCAAAATGAAACCCACTTGTTCATGTTTCTTGACTTGTCCTGTGAGTAACGGATCACAACCAGCGAACCAAGCATATAATGCAAGTCCGAGGAAGCATGACAACAATTTCATGAGTATAACTCCAAAACATGATACAGTGAGACATATCCTCGCTTTGTTGATCGTCGGTACAGCTTGGAGTTTCTGGAGGGATGACTGACTGAGTGCTATTTTCCAAAGCCAGTTTGTGCTCAGGGCTAATGTTACAGCAAAAAACGATGTATGATGAGCCAATTCTGGATCCGGACTAAAACAATATTAACAATGTGATCGAAGGGTCTGATTGTTTAATTTTAAAATATATCGCAGTCCCTTTACATTTTCAATTGAAGGATATTCACAAACTACACAATACAACTATTTGATATGTGACAGTGACTGGGACCGTGACGTTATTTGAAAGATGAACGATATCGACATTAATTTAAATTATCTAAAGCAAGCGTTAGACACAAATATCGTTGAAGGCTACTAAGAAAACTACTAACTACAATATTTCGACAAGTTTAGCTTTAGTTTTATTATGTTTCTTGAAAAACAAATCGTCATTCGTTTCATAAACGACGTTACGTGTTCAAACTTAACATTATAATAATTCCATAAATTTCTATCACAATGAAATAAGCACTGACAAAAAAAAAGAAACACTGAAAAACATACTCGTACAAAACTAAACGTCCGCCGTGATTAGCAATTTCCCACATTTTCTGAAATCCCATGGGTAGTAAAGCCAAACCACTCGGTAGAGCTGTACCAGCCAATGCCAAGAAAGAGGTGACGATACCGACACTAACTATGGCTCTTAAGCCTCCGACAGCTATGAAAGTAGCACATGCGACGCAAACAATTGCTGTTATGTGGCCAGCAAATTGATTGGTTACTGGAACAGATAAAATAAATATAATTGTACCAGAATGTTTTATTATGATGGACTCAAAGACAAGAATTAGTCAGAATATATATGGCATGTAAGAATAGAAATTTACGCTGATACCCAAAGTGATATCGTAGACCCCCCATAGGTCCAGGACGATATAGCCCGTGACCACGGCCGGTGTAAACTGGTCGAAACGTCGGGAAATATAGGTAGGTGAAAAACCTAATTATCGAAATCTATCGCGTTAATACCCGTCTTATACAATCAAATATAATGCAACGCGAAAGTTTAAAAGTTTAATGAGAAGTTAATAGTATTAATAGTGAATCTAATTTTATGATAATAATATTTATTTCGAACATAATTTGTTAATATTTCTAACAGGACGTGATTAAAAAAAAAATACTTTCCACTAATTAAATTTTTTTCTTTAACATTTCAGATACAGAAATGATCAAAAATTAATGAAATATTAGATAGAAAGTAGTGAAAATACAGTAGCTGATATTATAATAGAGTATATAACAAAAGATTATTTTATAGAGTCACAAAAGTTTTTAGAGTTATATAGAAAAAACTATGTGTAATATTACGTTAAAATACATATAAGAAATCTTTACCTCACCTAATCTAAACGCCATAAGCGGGACATATGGCACTATTGGAAGTAACATTAATTTGCTTATGACAAACAGAACTGCGGCAATAACACGTGTATGCGTCGAGAATCTTATTTCCAAATATTCGAAACTCGAAGACAGTTGTAATTTGTGAAAAACTGAAACAGATAACGCGTTTTTTTTTTATTTTAAGGATATTTTTATTATTACTTTTCTTAGTAAAGACATATAACAAAGGACAATCACTTTTATAATTATGTGAGAAACAATATTAGAAATAACATCTCTTTACACAGATTTCAGATTTAAATTGTAATTTGCTACTTTGCAAGTTAACAAATTAACTAATAATTAGAAATTATTTAAAGAACTATCATAAAACTACAAAGACAATGAATTTAAAGCACCCTATAAAGCGATATTTATATTCACAATTAATATAATATCAATTAATATATTTAAATTTACAATATTCATTCAGTGCAGTTGGTTTGCTAATGTAAATACAGACCAGAATGGTCTGGTATACACGTGCATTACAACACTATAAAAATAAGATAACACTCACCTGGTAAATATATTACAGCCGTTAGAAAAGTCACTATTATCAGAGAAAGCGCTGATGCCCAGTACTGTGTACCGCGAAGGTATATCTCAACTGGTACACCTAATAATGTTATACTTGTCAAGTGACTGTAAAATGTAATATTTAGAATAAAGAAATATCTGAAAGTAGCGTTCGTTGCAAAAAGTAGAGATGGACTTATCAGTACGAATAAGAATGAAATTTAAGAGGAGAAAGACTGAAAAGATGTGGTTAGATTAAATGGAATATTAGAAAGCTAAGTGAAATTAAGCTAAGTAAGATAGAAATGAAAGAAATTTTGTAACAGACCAGACAAAAGATGATTCTAAAAGAGATCTATAAATAATGTAGTAACGTGAGCAAAACACTAATATTCAACTCTTGGATTTGATTTGCTCTTCATTAAATAATCATCGCTATTATAAGACAAAGGCTCTAGAAGCGTCTGCCTGTTTGTTTGATCATGAAGAGAAAAACTATCGCATATATTTATATGTGGTTGTAATATAAAGAGTTTGACAAGGAAAGTTTTGGTGTAGGATAAACAGTTGAGTACATACCTCGCTATGAGTGCCAGTGAAATTGAAATGACAGACATATTTTTACCTCCAAACAAAAAGCCGTCCACGGAATTATATTTCCTGTTCACGACATTAAAATACAATATAATACCAATTATCACACCTAAAATAATACCGAATAAACAATATTCAGCAATATTAAAATACAAAGGAGAAACTGGCGAAACAGATGAATTTCTCATATTTAATAATATTATTTTATATAGTAATCTAGATGTCTTTCTAACATGAAGCGTTTTTGACGAGTACAATTTACCTACTATCAACTTCTATCAACATAAGAGTAAGATCAACAGTATTGTAATGATAAAAGTGGATTTGTATTCCGTTTCTAAGTAAATAAACGTAACCGGTTCGTTTTATGACTGATTGTTTTTCAGCTGAACATGAAGTCTAGTATATTATTTTTAAATAACATTAACATGTACATTTATAACCCAAAATGTTTTAGATAAGAGACTCGTTCTTTAAAATGAACTGATGAATTGTCTCTAATGCTTTTTTTTACTCGATACAAAATCTTAACCAATTTAAAACTTTGCAGCTGTTATGAGTAAACTTCACATGCATATTCCTACTAAATTTCACTAGTAATTGTCTAACTAGTTGGTACACAAATTATAGAATATCTCAAATAATCAGATTGTGTTTATAATTGATATATAATTGATTATTTTTAGACATTGTTGACCAAAGAATTCAGTTTCTGTTTATGTCGATCCTTGGAAAGCTGATTTCAGCCTCGAGTGGTCGGTATCGATCACTATGGGAATCCCTGATCTAGAACAGTGGTTCTTACCTTTTTGACAGGAGTAATGTAGGACTGTAATCCATATCCATACTATATTACCTATTAAAGTGAAACTAAACTATGTACTAACCCAATTTTAATTAATTTTGTACACAGATAGTGTGGACCTTGGGAAACTACTACATAAGATAGCGCGAAAAATATTCTAGAAATATTAAGGGTGCTTTTTATTATAAGATTTATATATTTAATCAAACATTTTGCTTTATTTAATTTTTGTAAATAGCTTTGTATGTATAAATTTAACTTATTTAATATTTATTCTAACTAAAATAACTAATTTTGAAAACTCCAACAAACTACAAGAAAATTAGTAGCTGTAGAAGAAACTTAGTAGATGTAAAAGCCTTTATGTGAATTTTATAGCAAAGATTTCATGTTAAATTTCTCAAAATTCCAATTCTCAATAATTCTCATATTTGATTTTACACTTCTCAACATACATATAACATTACTTTTTTTTTATTAATGTGTGAATGAGAAATATAACTTATTCACTATATTAAAGTTTCAATTTCTATTTTATGTGATGAAAAAGTGTGAAATACGCCATCTAACAACAACTCTCCTAACTATCAACGTTTATACTTCATCTTTGTAAAAGCATGAAAACAAGTTACAATTTTGTGTTAGGAGTTAGCCCATGCAAGTAGTTAGCAAAATAATTTTAAGATGGCAGTGATATTATTTTTAACAACCAATTTAATAAATACAAATGTGTGTATGTAAATAAGTATAATGCTTGATATCAATTTTAGCAAAATTAAAAAGAAAAGTTTCGTCACAGTCTATTTTTTTCGTTGGTTTTATTTGATTCACAAATTAATAAAACTTCCAACTTATTTTTTATATTTTTTCCTCCAGCAAAACATTTGTTCTATATTGTTCAAAGATTTTACTAGGATTTTATGCCAAAATAATACAAAAATAAGTTACATTCATGAAATAGGTAGGTAGATTCTAATTTTAATATACGTTTGTGCAACTGAGTGATAACCTATACCTATACCTAATTAGGCAGTGTATTTTTTCGTATCCTAGTTTTTCTAAGTGCTAATAAAAAACTTCATTCCTCCATTGAAATATAAATTCAATCTTCGAGATGAAAGTGTGAAACTAAAATATGACACAACAAATGTTCGTATTTCATAGTTTCACGTTCAGCTAGGGTGGGGGTTAGTGGTGGGACTGATATTATTATGGATGGCGGGTAGCTTTTACCCACATTAGAATATTACCCTCACACCTGGCCCCAGGCGACCTCGGTAAATACAGTTTTTGCAGTTTTATGGCAACCGGTAAGGTTACTTTGTATGTTGATTGGGGAATACTCTGAAAAAAGGTTAGTAATGAGATTAGTTTACTAAATCAAACATAAATACGCACTTTGCGCCAACACCTGTTTGTCTAAAACAAGGTATAGCGTCGGAGTAAATTTACATTGAGACTACACTTAGTATTGGTCAAAATTCATATTATTAAACAGAGACGGCCAAGGATAACCTAGTACGAGGTTCTATGGGCTTAATATTTGCTCCTAGAAGGTAGTAGGTAGTAGGTTTGCTTATTCTCTGTATAATATGAATTTGGACTGATACTAATAGAGCAATTTTAGAGTAAACTTACACGCTAAATCTTGTTTATTTCAGTGTTTAGAAAATATGAGATTGTTTAATTAGTTATTTCATCCTATGTAAGTGAGAAATAACTTTGATGTTAAAAATTATACATGTGATAAATTCTGTTACTGACAAATAATACGTTACTATTTGACGATGTTTCTGTTACTACTTAGAGATAGATGAGTCTTTATTTAGCAACACGCAAATCATCATGCCGCAAATAGTGCCATTACTATTTGAGAAACCTTTTAATTTTAGTTGTATGATTATTGATTAGTGTAGATTTATGTGTAAATATGTGTTATGTGTTACGAGATGTATTGTATCTTTACCTATCCAGTTATAAAATATATATTAACTTTAGAGAAGTATGTGTATATACAAATACTTCTCCAAAAACCTACATATTACTAATAATATATTTAATAGTTAATAAACAGATATTTATAGAATACTTAGGTTTTGGTATATAATAATAATTCAAAATGGCGTACGAGCCACTTAATAACCGTCTGACACCGTCGGGAAATATAATTTAATTTCTCTATAGTTTCGTCCTTGTTTTTTGTGTTGGCACCACTGGTTCTGTCTTTGTCCCCCCTCCCCTGTCCTGTTGGAACTTCCGTTTGTTCCCGTGTCACCCAACGTTCTGGACGAAAAATATTTTCTATATTGTCTAGGTATTAGATGATTTGTGTATTTCTGTAAGTACGCGATGTGAATATATTCACCAAAGACATATAAAAGATCGTCATCTTATTGAAGAATTACTTATGAAATTCACTATATATTCCTAGGTGTTCGCGTAAGAAAGTATTTTTCTGCAAGATATTATCTGTATAGGTCACAATACTCGAATAGGGATTCGTTTGCGTAAAACGTTTAGTGGATTAGCGCTGCGGCCCGTGATCGTAGTCGTTAAGCAACTTTCGCAAGGGTCGGTCACGGGATGGGTGACCAAAAAATTATTATCTCGAGCTACTCCGTGCTTCGGAAGGCACGTTAAGCCGTTGGTCCCGGCTGCATTTGCAGTCGTTAATACCCTCCAATCCGCATTGGGCCAGCGTGGAGGGTCATGGCCCATCCTCCTTAACCATCCATAAGGAAGGCCTGAGTCCCTGCAGTGGGGACGTAAAAGGGCTGATGATGATGATGATGATAATATGACATACTTTTGTTTGTCATAACATAAATCTGTTGACGCTGTTGACTGAAAAACTTTTTTCGCATTTTCGGAAACCGGCTTTATTATGACGTTTTATATATTTCAAGATGCAATGAAATCGTCGATTTAACGCCATAACAGGACTTTCCAACTGCTTCCTCACCAAAAAAAATATAATTAAATACACACAGACACGATGGTAACACATAAGATGTTTAAATTTAATTTTTAGTGCAATAACTGTCGAGGGTGGGGGCCTGATATTCTAAAATACAACCAATTTATTGCTTAGTTTCAATCTCCAACAAACTATGTTTATGATTATACTAAGCACATTGTTTAAGTGAAAAAGTTTGTGGGGCAAATAAATAAATAATTTTCATTATTATCACACAATCGCTTTTGAATGGCACCTTAAAAATTATGACATTCAACTAGCGTACAAGTTTGACCAAGGAGACAATATCGTATCCTATCAACGTCGATAATTTGATTAGATGGAAACGAATGAAAACTTTAGTAAAACTATATGTATATCAACAGTCGATATAATCAGAAATAAAGGGTTAAAGTTAAAATTATCTTAGGCGGAGTCACAGGCCCTGGGCGCATGATAAACCGGCGATAACCGGATATAGGGACGAACGAATTGGTCGCTTCGGGCAACGTTTTTTGCGTGCTACTGTACTTCTCCACGTGGTTTACTTTGGAGTCACTCGAAAAATTCTCGTTTAGTAAATAAATATCATATCCAGTACTACGATTCCAAGTAGCTAGGCCCTTTTTTATGAACTTAATATCAATATATAAAGTTCGCTTGCCGGCATCGAAGTTGAGGAGGTCTCAGCCTCAGAAAGTAAGTTATTATGAAAATGTATGTTGTTGAACAAAGAGGTCATCAATAAACCTAAATTTTAGAAAACTATTTAGTCCTTTTGTACATTTGTACTAAAATCTCTATTAGAAACTTATGTCTGAAAATCTATATTTTAATTAATAGGTTTTCATGAAATCTAGCCGTAACCAACTGCATACCTTTTGAATGCAAAAGCAGCTCACATTAGATTTGTTTACCGAAATCACTAACTCTATAACTTGCTATCCGTGCTATTGGTTAGCTTAACAGCCCTGACATTTGAAATAAAACCTTTATTACTTTTCAAGTAGGTTTCATTTGATTGAACCTCTATGCAATGACATGGAGGTCGACTTTATTAAAACATTGCAAAATACAGGAGTAGTCGAATAGGGATGATGACTAATTTTTGTTTGTTTGTCCGTCAGGTAGAGTGTTAAAAAATATTAAAGATGTATTTTTTTTATTTTTTTCGTATTCATAAAATTACGGCGTTGAAATTCCGCATGACGTCACGTTATGGTACGTTTTCTACTCAACTGTGACGTAGCGAGCCCCCACTCCGCAACTTTAATGCCCGTTACCTAAGCTATTTCTTGTTAAGTTTAAGTGAAAAAAAAAAATACATATCTAATATTTTTCTATTATCTGACTGACGGACTAAATATAATTGCATTTTTTTTACCCAGTCATCATTCCTATTGTACCCGACTTTATTGCGAGCGTGC